ATTTCCTCATGGCCACTATATGAGTGAGAAAGCTGCTAGGTAAGAAAGATAAAGGGAGTCTCAGATAAATACTAATGTACCCTCTACCAGTAATTCCAAAATCCAGCCAGTGATCAGAAACTCTTGGGGATATTTATTTAAAAATAGAGATACTTAGGCTCTTTCCATACGGAAATGCTGATGCAATAAACCTAGGTTAGTACCAAGAAATCTTTATTTTGTAAAAGAAGTCTGCAGGTTAGATGATCAGCATGTAGGATATTAAGTGCGCAATGATTAAACAGAAATGTTGGCTGAGCTAGTGCAGCTGGTGGGTTTCATATCACCCACATTTTTGTCCTTGTAAGGAATCTGTGCTTGCTTAAAAGACACTTCCTGAGTACATTGCTTAGGTGTTGCCCTTGGTTCCTAAATGCAGAGGAACAATGAGAAATCATATAGAAGGGCCTGACCATTGTGAATAGTGCTATAATGAACATGGGCGTGCAAATATCTCTTTGAGATTCTGATTTCAATTCTTTTGGTTATATATCCAGAATTGAAATTGCTGGACCATATGGTAACTCTGTTTTTTAATTTTTTGAAGAACCTTCACACTGTTTTCCACAGTAGCTGCGTCATTTTATATTCCCACCAACAGTGTAGAAGGGGACAGCCTGCTTTCACTTACATAAGATATCTAAAATAGTAAAACTAATTGAAGAACAAAATAAAATGGTGGTTGCCATGGATGGGAGAAAGGAGGAAATAGGGATACAGTTATATTTGTACTCTTTGAATAAGTTCTAGAGGTCTGCTGTACAACATAGTGCTTATAGTTAACAATATGTATTGCACACTTAAAAAATTTTTAAGAGAGTAGAGCTCATATTAAATGTTCTTACCACACACATTCATGCATGCATACACACACACAAAATAAAACAAAGGGACATAAGGAAACTTTGGGAAGTGATGGATATGTTTAATACCTTGATTGTACTGATGGTATCATGGGTGTGTGTATTTATATGTCCTAACTCATAAAATTCTATATGTTAAACATGTACATGGTTTTTAAAAGTATCAATTATACTCAATAAAGCTGCTGAAAAATATTTTAAAAGGGCCTGACCTTTTGTGACAAAATGTGACAAAAATGGGTCTACAGTGAAGGGGCCAGGAGGTGGTACTAGGACCATTTTCACATCTAAGAAAAAAATGGATTTAAGGAATTTGGATATAGATTACAAGGAGCTAACATTAAGCTGGGAAGTAACTTGGCCATAGTTTTCTATTTTTAGGACAATATATGTCATGGCAGAGCAATAGGTGAATACAGGCTCCTGTGGGTCAGAATTAGTGGCAGAGAAACCAGGTAAAAGGTGATGCTGAATTTGATGAGGAATTAAGAAAGTAGCAGTATCTCCGAGGCAGGTATTAATAACCTTTGCTTAAATGCAAGATTAAGAGGATGAGCTTCAGGACAGTGCGTTCCATGAAAATGAGTGGCAATGATGACACACTAGGGAAGGAGGACCTAGGCTCATAGGGTTGCCCAGGGCAGTTGGAGTGAAGAAATGTTGACATGAAATACCCATTTCATGGGAAGAAGTAGAAAGAACAGAAAACTCATTTCTACTTTAGTTCTGGTGTGATGATATAAAAAAGAAAAACATAATTGAGGGCAAGAGTAGTCCTGGTTTCCACGGGCAACTGGCAAATTCTGCTTCCTACTTCACTATTTGTCTGAAAAAACACCTGGTGAAGACTTGATCCTGAATATCCTCTTGGAATCCCTGATCCCAATGTCTGCTGAAGTAGCAGAGAAGTGGTTTTTCCATGGTACAGAGTAAAATTTTATATCTTCAAATGTTTAAGGACAGTTTATTTGATATGTGAGGATGTGAATACTTCTCTTTACTTACAAGTGCAAAGCCTAACTTATTGGCCAAGTGGATCACAAAATAAGCAAACATTAACTTATTGCAACAGAGACTGGTTTAATTAATGAATCTTTTTGAAAGTTTTCTGTGATAGATCTTACATAAATAAATAGAATTTTAATAATGTGGACTTTTAAACATCAGTTTTTAGTTTGCCTCACAGTTTTTCTACACAGATAGAAGATTCCTTTTCCTGATGTGAAACTTTTCACAATCAACCAGAATTGAAATTATGAACACTGCCTGTCCACCACTATCCTTTTAGATACTTCTTGGTAAGCAAGATAAATGAAGAATACAAAAGAAAATTGTGTGCTATTTTTAATGTCATTTAACCTATACCTTTTCCAAAAAGTCACACAACCATTTGAGAGTTTTAGAGGGGTATAATGTATGAAAGAAAATTCCAATAACATAATGTAAAAAAATGTTGTCACATATAGAAGGGTAAAAATCTACATTTTGGGGGTCTATTGCTGTGGGAAGAAGGGCCTGATCTTCATACTCATCTTCCTCATTGAATACCATGACCCCTTCCAATTCATCCATACTATGCCATCGTCTGTGCCGTGCTTTGCCATGTCCCAGGTGTACTGTCCACCCCAGTAGTATCTGCCGTTTGGATTGGACGCGTGACATCTGTTATACCACCATCCACCACCGTCCTCTTTAGAACACTGTTTTCTGGGATCTGTAGTTAGCCTGAAAGGAAATGTAGTTGGGGTTATTAGAAACAGCACTACAGTGGTCAGGTTAATTCTTTGCAGAGGACCCGCAGAAGAGTGCCATGCTCAGTCACACCCGTGACTCTTTCCCTTGGATTCTATACACAGAGTCACACTAATGCACCAAAGGCCTTCTCTGCCCTACAGCAAGAACGGGAGAGAGCTGGGCCTATGTGGCCAATTCGTTTAAGGGTTACACTGGTTACTTTATGCTGAAATGACAGTTTTTAGATCCCTTTGTATTAGAGAACGCTAGGAAACAAAATGAAGGTTTTAATATACACATTACAGAGACATCACTATTAATCTAAACGCTCATTACTCACAAAGTAACTGTACTCGAACTCCAGTTCTATCTCTTGGCAGTTGTGTGACTTTGGGCAAGTCACTCTCTCTAAACCTCATCTGTAAAATGAGATTAACATTGTCTACCTCACAGTTGAGGTGCTTTAGAATGATGAAGAAAGAGCTTAGTACTGTGACTGACAGTACCCCTCAAAAGGTAGTTATTGATAATATTAGCTAGTAACAATTCTGAGCAATAATACTGGTGGGGACTTTTAAAGCTAAGAGGGCAACACCTACCAGCCGTCATTGTCTCTGTCATACGTGCTGAAGAACATGCCGTTGTGAATGGTCATGGTTTTGTTCTCTCCCACCAGCTGAGAAGCTCCCTCCATGAGGGCATTGCCGGCCGTCCCTTTATATTTGTTCACCGAGAGCTGGTACTTGTTGGCCTCATTCTGCACAGTGAATCCCCCGTACTGAGCTTTGACCTTGTCTCCTTTCCAGTCCTCCATTTCAATCAAGAGCTCTGTGGGTCCCATCCTGGTAAGCTGGCTGATTTTATCATTTCCAAGCCAATACTCACCTAAAGGAAAAATAAAATAAAATCTCACCAAAAATAAAACCTCTAGAAACCAAAAACTGCCTTTCTTACTTTAGCTTTCACATGTTTGTCATTAAATTCCTCTTAACTGCCTACAACCTGAAAACAGCCTTCCAACATTGTATGTTTTCTTAATGGAAAAACAATCCCATTTTAAATAGAATGATTTTATTTTGTACGCGCAGCTTTTACCTGGTAGGCCACAGTATTTTTTGCCATCTTCATTGGTTGCAATATTTCCAAATCCTTGTTTATATGGGTCCCATTTCCTGCCGAAGTCAACACTACCATCTTGGCGGTTCTGAATTACTGTCCATCCTTTGGTTGACAGAGACAAAAATAGCACATGTTAACCAATAACAAATAATGTCACTTTGAAAAGAATGTCCGGATCCCCTGTCCTTTCCATTCATTTTATGCCTACCTATATTTTTGTGCTATAAAATAGATATAATAAGCAAATAAATATGGGAAGAAAACTCTTATAATCTTTGGAAACTGAAAGTGTTTTATCTTACCCCAAATTGTGAATCATAGATATTTTAAAACTTTTTAGATATTGGATTGGATTCCAAATCAAATGACTCATTATTGGCTATGGTAGAGCTAGGTCTTGTTTCCTGGCACTTGTGGTATCAGAATAATTACAGACGATAGGCCAACATCTCCAACGCTTACCTCCATTATCTGTGTTCATATCACAGTATACTCTATATGGTTTGATAGAACTGTCAGGCTGAATGAGATACATTTCAGATGTTTCACCTCCTTTCCTGATGATTTCCTCACATTCTGCAAATGAAAGGTAACATGTCATGTTCAGGGGCCTGTGCAATAATTACTTGGTCTTTAGTCTCAATTCTTTAAGATAACTGATACATAATCAGTATATAGGTTACTGAAGAATGTTTCATTATAGACATTAATAATAATACTATAGAAATTGATCTTCCTTTTACTGAAAATCAAATTCAGTTTTGAGAAGTTCAATCTGCCAAGAGGATGAAAAAAGCCCTTCTCCACCTTTTGTGTGCTGGGCTATCCATAAACTGCCAGAACACACGAGATGGAGAAGCTCCTACATCTATCCATGGTCCTGACATCTTTTCAGGCAAGTGAGTATGCACACACATTAGCCACCCCTGAATTGCCACTGTCACTGTCCTGTACTCCATCCTGCTCATCAAAACTGGCAAACGCATCAGGCCAAGCCAAAACAACCTGCTAAGGATATCTTCATGACATACTACAATGTCATTATGATATTGGGGAAAATCCGTTAGATGTTTGTTTTCTTTCAATGGTCTTATTTTTAGAGTGTGAGTTCTTCTGGAACCCTACAGAAATATGTATATTAACTAGTTACCTTTGCCAGACACCACAGGGACGTTGCAGCTGACAGTGCATGGAGTGCGGCAATATTCCATCTGAGCTGAGACGTCAGTCTCTAATTTTTGTATTTTGCTTCTCAGGTTTTCCAGAATTGAACGGAGCACACGAAAGTTAGTTGGGATATTATTATTCACGGTCTCATCTATATATAATCGGTGCTTTTCCAGTTCTGAGGAATACTCATTTATTACATTTTCATTATCTGGAAAAATGAAATTATGTAGGAATCATTAGTATTTTCGCCTCATAAAACTGAATGTATTTAACTATACAATTATGATTTTTATTTTCTGAGAATAAAGTAATAAACATTGAACTACCACCAAGCAGTCATGATATACAGTTGTATTTAGGGGAAATTATTTGGTCCATGGCATATACAAATTCACATGTAGCCTAACTACCATACTAGTCATTTACCATCAGTATAAGCTGAAGATTGTGTCCAGTAATAAATACAGTAGGATGTTTATTTCTGTGGTGAGGAAAAAGAGAAGAAAGCAGTATTTGGACCTTCCATTTCAGAAGTTCAATATCTTATAGAGGATACACTTCTCCATCCCACATAAGTATAGTCATGCCTTGAAATTTACAAGAGAGATGTCATGATTCCTTTGACTTCTTCGAAAAATGTCCTAATTTGGGTATGCTGCTCACTGAGATGCCTATGCCAGGCACACATACTAGCTCATTCTTAACCACCAAGCCAATAGCATTCAACGTTCAGATCTCAAGTCTCATATGTTAAGCATCATTATCCATAACACAATTGAATATATCATGGATTACTCTCTCATATTCAAAACCCCAAATGTTAAATCTATAAATGCTAATTTTTTTTTACTCTGTGAATATTATCTTCTGAGTCATAAGTTTCTTGTATACTAAAAATTAGGAGTCAGTGAAATTTTTTATAGAAAATCATCCTTGCTGATCCTATCTTTACAGGGAATAAGAGCTGAATAGTGCTTATCTGGCGAGTTGCAGCTAAAAGTGCCTAAGCCAAGACCTTTGGGTAATCACATGCATACTGAAAGCAGTATGCATGCTACTTAGGCTAATCTAGAAATGTTAATCTTCACAAAATCATGCATTCTCATGGCATTCTAACTTCCAGTTTTATAACCGAGAATCCAATGGAAAGCACGAGGATATCTACCTTTCATTTGCTTCTGCCTCTTTTGCCACATGTCTTTTAGTAAAGACATGTGCTGAAAGGTAGAAGAGGAGGTCTGGGAAATAGAATCCATGTCGTTACGTAACTCATCAACACCGTTTTTGACTGTTCTTTCCTGTTTTACCAAAGCTTCTTGCAACTGACATCCTGTGGGACACAACACCCCCTACAAACAAAGAAAAAAAAGCAGACACTAGATGAAGGATTTGGGTTATGAATACTTATTAAAAAGCACATAGTGAAAATTCAGTGATAAGGATTAGTCAATATAAAAATTTGTTATTTGATTTTCTTAATGTAAAACCAGAAATTCTAGAGTCATCCTCACACTCTCATGAAGATTAAAAACATCCCTCACCACAGAAGAAATGTTATTAGGCTATGAAAATTTTACTGTCTGAACAGAAGAAGTGGGCAAAATATAAAGATAAAGGTAACACTCACATATCCTAATTTGTAATCTTGGGCCCAAATCAAAGAAAACAAGAAAGGAAGCCTAAACCAAAGGCCCAATAAGTTTATGTTTTGAATTTTATTTCAAAAAACAAACCAACAAAATAACAGTGACAGTAATGTGAGTCAATGAAACAGTAGGAGGCCATGATGAACATAGGCTTTCTCTGCAGCATAGACCTGCCACTGTCAGAAACATCAGCATACCCACCAGCTCTGGGTCAGCATGAAGACAGCCACCAGCGTCGGGGGCTTTTCTTTCCACTTTTTTTTGGGCGGCAGCTGCTTTGGCTGGACGAGCCCTATAGCCACCTACACTGATGGGAGGTGGGGCAGGTCTCAGGCTGGGAGCCTCTTCCCTCTTCTTGTCAAGGGGTCGATGACCACGGGCAAAAATCACCTACAAAGAACCAGCCAGAAATAAAATGCAATGTTATAGAATTTTTGAGATGTAACTATTCCAACATGTTCATATTACAATTGAGGTTATCACAGCCTGATGGTTTGCTTAAGGTCCATGTGTGGGCTAGGTGTTGGTGGTCAATCATTGCTTATTGTTCAATAACAGTAGAAAGACCAAAGGCACATAAAGCTATTGTACAGTGTAGTTTTTAACAAGAGAGCTTAAGACAAAGCTGCATCCAGTTAGGAATAGTAATGACCTCAGATTTCTGAAACCTATACATTTTTTGGAATACACAGAAGTATAAAAAATCTATACTGTCAAAAAGAATGAAACTTGGACTATTAAATTCCTACAATTATTGTTAATCATTTCCCCACTTTCAATTTTTGTGAATCAAAGATTAGGCTAACTCCTATATAATCATATTTAAGAGACAATAAAGATTTAATAAAAATGAATTTTATTTGAAATTTATTTGTAATAGGACAATTTTTGATCCTAATAACGTACTCTGGACCAGACTGCTTGAGTTCAGATCTTAACCCTGCCACTTAACTAGCAACAAGACTTTGGGCAAGTTACTTTAACTGCTCCCAGTTTTCTCATCTGTAAAATAAGGACAATAATCATTTGTACCAGCCTTCCAAGATTAATGTAAGAATTAAATGACTTATTGCTTATGATACCCTCAGTATAATACTTGGCACATTGTAAATGTTCATTATTATTTTTATTGGTATCACACATAACAGATACTAGAGTTTAGGTGGCTACTCCACTGCTAATTGCACTTTTATTCTTATCGTCTATCAACAAAATTATTTGTTAAACATTCTCTTGAAATTCCCTACTTGATTTCTTTATCAAACACCATGATTTTCTCATATTTAAAATTATTCTCAAGGTTTGTGCATTATGATTAAAATTATTTGCTAACTTAAAAAATATTACATCAAAAGATAATGAAGTGGAAAACATACATTGCAATATAAAAGTTTTGGCATAGATTAACTACATTATCGTATGTTCTTTTTCAGTAGTTAAATCCTTAGGAGCTTAATTACAAATTAACAAATAACAAGACTCGAAGCAACGACTGAGCTTTCTTGCAATTTTCTGAGTCTACAAGTCATTGAATGAACTCTATTTTGAATTTTATTGTCAATTACTCATTAAGTTATAATATTATTTAACGTTATATGGGATGGTGCTAGGATTAGAACCTAGGCAGTTTGGTTCCAGATTTCCCTGCTTAACCAGCCAACCATATACATCCTTAACATGTAAAGATTTGGAGGAGATATACATATTCACATCAAAGAAATGGTCCCAGCCAGAGCTCACCCACTCTAACACAAACTTTTTGAAATGTGATTCACCTGTTTATTACAAATAAAATTATAACAGAAGAAAACTATTTACTTTTTATTTTAAAGTACCATTAGAGAGGTAGCATGGATGGTCTGGCTTTACTAGAGAAAAAGAAATCTTAAAAAAACCTTAATGAAATTATGTGGGCACTTACTGAAATAACCAAAACTAGAAGATCCATTTTGGAGCTGAAACGATTAAACTGTCCCTGTGATGATTAGTTGGTAAGCAGGAATGTGAAAGTGCTTTACAAAGTACTTTACAAAAATTTAGTTTTACATGTTCTTTACCTTTTTCTTACCTAATGCTATTAACCAGACAATTACCTTTTTGTAGGTGCAATCTGATAATTAAAGCAGTTAAATTCTCTTTAAATTTGACAAATGAGCCAAAACAAAATCACTTTATTTAAATATTATTGTGTATTCTTATTTCTAGTATGATACTATGTTATGTATACGAAATTTGTTAATAAAATTTAAATTTCTTAATTACTCATTTTCCAAATGTATTTCTGTATTGTTGATAACTTCAAACTAATAGCAACAAGTTAGCAAAGATAATACTTGAGGAAAACTGTTCAACAAACAACTAATTAGACTGAACTATGTTTCACAACCATTAATCATCATAACAATGCACACTATCTCTAATTTAAATGTTCTCATCTGAAAAAAACGATATTTCATTTTCTAACATCACACTTGATCTATTCTGCTTCTACATTTAGTTATAATTCACATTTATAAATCGTAATCTCGGAGCTATATATTACACACCTTCACCATAGAACAACTTATCTATCACAGCTTTTTTCTTTTAAAATACTATTCTTTTATTATTTGTAAAATTTTCAGATTTCATCCTCTTAATCATAATAATGTATTGCTAGAACTAAATGAAAATCATAGAATTCAGGATAACAACACATGAGAAAAACACATCTTACATTAGTTAAGCCACCTTCATCCTGGGAAAATAAAAGTGACAAACAAGAAATTATTTTGTTCTTATATAAGAAATACAAAGAAACATTCTTTAAATAAAATAGTAAATCACTGAGATTAATAATTCAATTTCATAACTACAATCACTGCTAATTTCATTAAAATATTAACAAACTTATGATTGTTATATTTTATATTAACATTAGTAATAATATAATAATTTTTTTAAAAGAATCACCTCGTCATCGTAGTCTTTCACGACAGCTTGGGACTTAACTACAAAAACACACAATAATAGCAACGATAGATGTTTCATGGTTTTAAATTTGTGGAAGTTCCAAGAAACGATCCTTTGCAAGCAGACTTAATTGAGAGATCTTCAATCCTATATATACCCAGGTCCTCTGCTAGGAATGACTTTAGAAATGGTTACCTTCCCTTGGTTAATATTTAATCTTTTGGATCACTTGTTGGCTGAACCATTTTATCACTTAAGCAACATCTTCCCAGCAAAACTTATTTACTTGTCATACAACTAATTGTTCTCTATTGGCCTACGTAGAAACATTAAAGTTCTTCAATTCGTTTAATTGGACAAAATGACAGGAAATTAGGACATTCCTAAAAGAGATGTGTATCTCATTTCTGGTAAATTAATGTAGATGTCACTCAAGCTCACAAAGAACGTGTGAGAAAAGAACATTTTTAATCCAAGCACAAAAAATCTGACCTACTTACAAGGAACCCATTAAAATTGTAACTCACTAATGATATACTATAAATGCTTATGTTTTGAGACAATCATGTAGCTCTGTTTTAAAAGAGGCCATTAAAATCAAGAGTAATATTGTATCATCATGTGTTTATCCTTTCTTTTAGACATTAATTAAAATAATAAAATAACAAATTCATGCCCTATGCTATGATAGACAAACGTCAGAAAGAAAATGTCCGGATTCCATTTTTTTTGTTCTGAACAGCTTTCATATTTTGTCCTTTATTATTCTATGTTAAAATATTCACCAAATTCTAAACATTATTAAAATAATTAGTAGGCTATAAATTCCTAAATCAAAATTATTATTATAGTGATTGGATACATATTTAACACTCTATTTTATTATTATATATTTCATGTTATTTATAAAAAATGTTATTTTAACATTGGTGAAGCCTTCATACATCTATTTCAATTAGTATGCTCACAGACTAAATGAAGCCCATTTTCCTTTATCATTTCCCATAAGCTACCAAATCCATTTCTCTCATCTGTTCATTTGTTTGTTGCAATCAGGATTAACAACTCCTACAAGAATCAATAGGAAAACCAAAGTCAACAACCCAAATTCCAGTAAGTGTGTTGCCTCAAAGTATTTTCTGTTTTTTCTATGGGAAGTAAAACAGTCTCATTAAATTTAAGAAATTATTTTATTGTAAAGATGGCAGCTTATCTGGGTTTGGATTGGGAAAGTGTTTAAACAATGCTTTGAAATAGAATCTTGATAATGGTGTGAGACTCACTAAATTTCTCTCTTCTCTTGGTAACATAGGTTGCATTGCCAAATTCTTTTAACTTAGATTTATAGAAACAAAATATTGAGTTTAAATTAAGAAAAATACTTGATTGGGTCTTTCCAAATTTGTGTTTCATTTATCAGGACTAAGTAAATGCTATAGCTTCAGATTATTTTTTTTAGTTTTAATTTTTTTAAAGAGGGATATACAATCTGACAGAAAAAGCAAATATGTAGCATGTATTAATTAAAATAATATGTTAGAATATTTCCCTTCAAAATGTAACTGAGAAAATGTTTATTTTAATAATCTGGACAGGATTTTATTTTAGTAATATACGGCTTCTTGCTAATTTAAAAAGAACTATCTGTTAAGAAGACCATAACAATTTTTTTTCTGTTGAGGTAACATTCTATTGCTACATTTTCAATCACTGACATTGTATCAACTAGCAATAGAATTATCATTTAATTCAAGAAGTTTGTAATTTTTTTGAGATTCTTCTAGCATATAATAGACTCTTGTTCAACATGAAAATGAAAGTTCCTTTCCATTCCCGTTGTGTTCTGCTCTGACTGGCATTCTTGCCATCACCAGAAAGATGAAAGAGAATGAGAATGTCTGCTCCGTAACAGCAGAGACTTAACATTCATTTTACTAACAGTTCTTGAGCGTCTCCTAAGTGACAGGTAGTGTGGTAGGGGTTGGGAATTACTTTGGTGAGCAAAGTAGACATAGTAGGCATTCAATACATGTATTAATAGAGTGAATGGGTGAACTAGCCTTCATTGACACATGCCTCCGATGCCAAACTTTGGTAATCGTTTATTCCATTTAATTCTTGAAACCACTAAGTTCTACAGATGATGAAACTGAGGTTCAGAGAGGTTAAGTAAACTACCCAAGAGCATATAGGTAGTAAGGGCTGCTTTCAGGACTTCACCCATATCTGTCTGACCCTATAGTTCATGCTCTGTGCCCATTACACCACATTTATGAACAGAACATAAGCATTATAAAAATAATATATTTTATTTTCTTATTGTTTGTTGATTGTTTTTGGTTTTTTTTTGTTTTGTTTTGTTTTTGCCAGCCCATTATCTTGGGACTGTAGTATCTCAGACTGGCACACTCATTCTTAGTGCTTTCTCTCACTGATATTATATTTTCATGCTTATATGGGGAGGTGGGTGCAGACATTCATGTCTGTGTGAGAGGCATGGGCAATGCTGTAATGAGTTTCTTTAATTCTATTTCTTGTTAGATATGTTTTTTTCTATAGAGTTGTCTACAGTTACACTAGCACTCTAAATTGCCTAATATTACAAAGTAGATGATCGTGTTTTCAGAGAAGAAATATATTTGCAGAGATTCCACTTACTAAAATACTTAGATTTTTTAGAATGTTGATGCAATTGGTGGAGGAGAAAGGGAGTACTATTTGTTCAGTTATGTTTTGAAGTCAATAGTGCAGTGTTCTTCACATGAGCTGATATAGTTACATAAGTCAAGGACAGTAAATCAGTGACAGAGAAAACAGAGATAATCTGTCCTGCCAGCATCTCTCTGGCACGAAGGGCAAAGACTTGTGGGCACTAATTGTCAATACAGTTGTTGATACAATTCATTTTAGGCCCACTCCACATAGCAGGAGGTAATTTAGGCTAAGCAACTATTTATAGAGCACCTACTTTGTGGCAGGTAGCACACTGGAGGCTGTGGATACTTTGGCGAAATCTTATGTGTAGAGGGAAAGACAGAAAATGAAAACTACTTACAATAACTTGTGCTGAGCCTAAGACAGGGGAGGTGAGGCTTCAGGACCCAGTAACTTAGGGACCTAACTTCCTTCAAGGGGGAAAGGGACTTGAAAGCAAAAGGGCTTTTAAACTTGAAACTTTTGGTTTGAATAACTGTGTGGTCTATGTCACACACCTGGCACATAGAAGGTGTTTAATAAGTATCTGTTGAGCAAGTTTATGAATACATAAATGAGTGCATGAACAAAATGAATACTGATTCTCTTTGTCTAATAGGTTTTAAGATACTATACTAAGTTATTGTTAGTCTCTGTGTGTGTTTTCCTTGTGTTACCCTGAGCTACAGTTTGAGAACCATTATCCAAAGGGAAATTAATAATGAAGAGCTGAAGGCCAGGTAGGACCAGAGCTTTTGGGGCAAGCCTGAGACCAGTGTGTTAGCAACACTTGCAATTGGTTAGCCGTCCTCAATGGGGAAGCATATGGCAGGGAAGGAGAGTAGGAGATAGTGCTATCTCTTGTGGAAGGTCTCCCTCTATCGACTTAGAAGATGTCAGTTTGCTTTTCTAATGGGTGCTGACATAGAGCATGGCAATAAGAAATAATAGGGCATTTTCTCCTTCAACCAGATGCAGATCGCAAGGGCTAGAGCAAAGATAGAGCTGCTCTTCTGCTTCTGCCACACTGAGACTCAAAACCCCAAAGGTGTTGGGTTTTGTGCTGGAGCGGGCTTCCAGTGGTCCTGTCAGTGTTAGATCACTCTGACCCTCTAACCACAGGTGACGAGACATTGTACCCAGGCTAGCCCTACCACATTCTCTCTTCCAATTTGGCATTTGGGGGACGGGGGAAAGCAAAGAATCAGAAAGCATCAGGCCAATTGGCCTGACATAATATTCATGGCAACATTTGAGAGAAAGCCTGCAGCAGCGGAACTAACCAAAACTTCTAAACAAACTTCAAAACTAAACTTAAGCCTGCAGCAGCAGAACTAACCAAAATTCTAAACTTAAACAGTCAAATCTATGAGACACCTGATGTCCTTCCAATATTACCAGCCCCATTTTACCTTTTTTGAGTTAGGCTCACATGGTTTCTGGGGTTTGTTGGAAAATTTAAGATCAGACTGTCTTATTTTTAAGAATAAATTGCGCATCAGAAAGACAAGCTGTTAGGCTGAACCCAGAAACTGGTGGGAGGTTGCATGGGAACTTTCCTTTGAAACTGGCCCCGCCCCCTTTGCGGGCCGGCCCAAACAGGCCCCACCCCTTTCAGAGCCCGCCCAAACCCGCCCGCAAAAGCCCTAGATGCCCGCCATTTTGGGGCCGATGCCATCCAGGACTCGTGCCGTGTGTACGCAGATGTTTAAAATAAACTTTCTTTTCCTTCAGCTTGGCCTTCTGCGTTCCTCCCTTGGCATTTCTAACAAAAGCTATATTTTCAAATAATACAATGAATCACTAAAAGTTTTTACATATTAAGTATATGGTACCAGCAGTAAAAGTCTGGGGAAAATGAGAACTTTTATTTTATTTTGGAACACTTCAGTAACTTTGATTCCAAAAATCTTTCACAATTTAAACTTTTCTTGAATTAAATTTACAGAATGTTCTGTAAAATGTGCCCAGCATCAAAGATTTAATGAAATTTTTTATGAAAAGAGTTACAGCTTGATGAGAAAGCATGATCCCTGTAGAGAAAAATGGGCAAAGGATATATACCAAAACAAGGGAAACACAACCACACATTTGGGAAAATATTGAACCTAGATATGAATCTAAGAAAGCCAGAAAGGTTGGTTTCTAGTAAAACGGATTTTGTTAGGGAAGGGGAACGGGGGAGCAGAAAAATCTCCACATGCTTTCCACATAATAAATTGGTAAGGACCAGCGGGGCAGGTTGAATGGGACAGACAAAGTGTGGCGTAGGGTACAGGATTTAAAATCCTCCTTCAATCACCTGTGACTTATTTGATATTTCAATTTACTTGGCTAGCTAATATTTTGTGGACTAAGTTTTTTTGGGGGTGGGGTGGGGGTTGAATTGTAATCTACTTTAAGCTTAGATCAGGATGAAAATAGAAGCTGCCTGTGTGGGAGAGCTGACCTCTGACT